TCCTCTGCATGAGAACATCAGAAGATCTAAAACTTCACACTATTCATAGTTTGTATTAAAACAAAAACATCTTCTATTGAAGAAATTTCTTATTTTTGTTCTATTTCAAAATACACTTTAACAGGACGCAGTTTCAAATATGAATTACGAACATTCTGATGATGGTAGGTTCTATACTACTGAAAGCTTTTTAGGTTATACTCTGCCAAATAGTAGGGAAACCAAAGCTTAGAAGAGACTTCAAAGGAGTTCTGCTGATGCTAAGATTTAACCGAGATATTCACTTTTTAGTAAATTTTCGGTATGAGTCCATTTTTTTTTGGTAAACGTAGAGTACAGTCAATTTCCCTAATAACGACGGGAAAATTTTGTCTTACCTTATTTCGTTTGGTTCTCAGCTGTTGTACATCCAATTAAAAATATTTTTATATTTGGAGAATCCCTGGGTGTGGGTGTGGGTGTGGGGTGTGGGTGGGTGTGGGTGTGGGTGTGTGGGTGTGGGTGTGGGTGTGGGTGTGGGTGTGGGTGTGTGGGTGTGGGTGTGGGTGTGGGTATGAATCTGAATGTGAGTGTTGATCATCTTTTTAACAACAACCATACCCACATCTACCCCACACCCACACCCACACCCACCCACGTTTTCGACTAAAAAATAACGAAGTTTACTGCTTATTACTCATCATAGCATAGAAAAACACATAAAGTTGAACGCTTTAATGTATGTATACAACAATAGTAATTCTCTTTCCAGAAATTTCCATGATACATTTTCTTGGAGAGACATTTACATGTCGGAAGTAGAAAATGATATCAACTGTTTATCTGCATTTTCTACAACAATGATCGATGATTGGAAATCTGACGGGTTTTTTTATTCGGTGGAATTTCTTCGAATGTGTGTCGATCCTTTAAAGAGATTGCTTCACCACACAAAGAAAATTGAACTGGACCAAAGGAAAAAAGAAGCTCACTCAGGTCAATCAAAATGTTCTAATAGATTTCCAAAACGACCAAACATCGATTTGGGCCAAAAGCTCAAAAATACCGATAAAAACTTTTGAAATAAATCTATTCTTTTATATTTTTTCCCTGTAGTTATAATAAATAAGAGAAGCTTATTTAAATCTTTATTCTCACCAACTGACACGATTTTTTTGTGAAAATAAATTCACTGATACGTATATGTTAGTAAGTCAGTAGATTATACAGGATCTACTCTTATCATTCGGTGGATTTGGTGAATTGGAGAACAATTAATCTTGTCTAACAATTAATTTATTTAAAATTTGTTCAACACTAATTGTACGAAATACTGACAAGAGGTGTATCCTAAATGTTTAAAAGCTTTTGATTCCATATTTTAGCTATAAGTAGTTCCAATGAGACTAAGAAAATCCTAAAAACGTTAGTACTCCTATCTCTCTCTTTCCTGCCAAGATATGATCAAACTTATGCCAATAAAACAAACTTCCTATTATTTGTTGTCAATACCGTTTCTCTACCTTTGTGAAGGCTGTGAATCTTGCATATATCTAAGAAACTCGTACACAGATATTGATCTATCTCAACTATAGAACATGACTAGGTTGGATTAAGAAGTTTCATAGATGCAAGAACGACATATTTGCGCTCGAACACATTTTTCCATCTATCAAAGTTATTAAAAAATTATAAGAGGCGTATTTTTTCGACATAAGCTTTATTATATATCGAAAAAGGAGAGCCATGGGCATGAACGCTTTTAGGATTTTCTCGTTCTCACTGAAACCAACGTACAGCCAAAATATGTAGTGAAAAACTTTTAAACAGTTGAGGTATCTTTCTCATTAGTAAGAACAAATACAATTTAGATGGTTATAAAACAGTGCATGACATCTTCTCTTCAGTCAAGAACATTACTTTTGTTTCTGCTAGTTTCGATTCAAGATTTCGTTAGCAGATACTAATGATAGTGAAATAATATTTCTTGTCATTATTTTCACCAAAACAATAACAGTTACTGCCTACTAAATAACAGATCATACAAGAAGACACAAACGATTCTTTGAAACATGTATACAACAATGGTAATTCATCTCTTTTTGAAGACTTGGAAATGTATTCGACTGGAGAGTTGTGTATATATCAACCAAAGGGAAGGATACGAGTCATACATTTGGATAATCTGCAGAAATCCTTCCTTTCAAGAGTCATGCTATTTTATGGCTTGATCGATCGGTTTCATTGAAAGAAATTGATATACATCGTTTAATGTATTATTTACAATTTATTGTCGCAGTAACAGTAGGACACTAATGCAAGACCGATGAGATGTGAAAAAACAATGAAGCAAATTTAGCTTGATCAGGATATTTCAATACATTACCTAAACGATCGAAAGTCGATAAATTCAAACATCAACTTGATTCAAAAGTTCAAAATACTGATAACATTATTTTTATCAAAAAAGTCTTTAGAGTTTCAGTAATATTTTATATAATAAACTGTTATAAATAAACAGCATATATAAAAAAGAACAGTATCATTAGAAGTTCAGGAATACAGTGAAATCTACTCGTTCATACTGAAACTGGATGGTATGACATCATAAATCTCTTATTTTGATTTTTTCATGAAAATTAGAACGATATATTTTATTGAAAAATTAAGAAAATTATAATTAGATAAATGATTGTTTTATTAAGATGATTTTAAACTAAATTCTAAAATATTTGTTAAATAGAATAGTCTGTTTTCTTTTTTTGTAAATAAAATCTTAATCGTCTAATAGGCGAATAAATGTAACTTTTCTTTCTGAATCATCTCCATTAAATGAAACACTGACATGTTTTTCTTGTTCTTGGCCAGGCACTCTTGGTGGCTTCATAATACAACCAGTAGCAAAACGACCTGTCCTAACAAGATGAACTTTACATCCTTGAAAAAAAAACATAAATTTATGCAGATAAATACAAAAGAAATATTCATACCTTGATTTTCTAATTCTTGCTTAACAGAATCTACATTTTGTCCAATGTATTGTTGTAAATCTTCATTCGATAATGACATTTTATTTTAATCGATATTAATCGAAAAAAGCTACTAATAGGGTAATTTTTTTACTTATGATTGCCTCAATTCAAGCTATTACCTATAGAAATGAAAGAGAGAGAAAAAAAATTAGGCAAAATACAAACACATGTCGATCATTAATTCAAATGTATTTATTCAACCGTAAACATAAAAACATATTTTTTTTGCCTCTATTCTAACCAAAAAATTATCTATAAATAATTACTAAAAAAAAAGCAAATTATTAAACATAGAAAAAAAAAGAATCTTAAGAAATTCAAATTTAAAAATTATCAACGAACTTTGTGACTTAACAACTCAATTGACTTTTCGTATATATTCTTCATATCTTTTATTAAACTCATCATTATCTGAAGTTGGTCTTTATAAAGCTGTTCTCAATATTAATAATTCGGATTTAAATGTGAAAATATCTTTAATATCATTAATTATATAGTTCACTAATATCTAATGAATCAATCGAAGCCTCACCTTTAATTCTGATATGATGTTATTTTATTTAAAGATGCTTTTTTTACTGATGCAATAGGAATAGTTCTCGCTAATAATATGATTTGTCTTTTAGTTGAATATCGAACTATTTCTGGACATTATTCAAGCTGTGATTATTAGTTGAAATTTAACTTTGTTGCCAACAAATAATATCAATAATCTTCATTATACAGACTTTCTAATCTTTATCATAGTTCAAATAGAATTATTTTTAAAAATAGGTTTATTTTGGTATCTATGTAATAAACGTAGAATTATATCTATCTAAACTTTTATTCTTAAAATTTGACATAAATTTTTTTGAAAATGTATTCGCAGACATATGTGTTAAGTGAACCAATGAGTCAAGATTCTCTTCGATTGTGCTGCAGATTCGATGAATATGAAAAAAAAAATCTTACTTAACAATTAATTTATGTAAATTTTCGTTTAATATTAATCATAGAAAAGCATTAGTTTGATAGCCGAAGTTGAACAAAAAAGTATTGATTCGCTTGAAAATATTTGAAATATTCTACTGAAAATATAAACTATCATAAAAAATTTGAACAAAATATTTTCAAAGAATGCCTAACTCTATTGACTGTCAATAGACTATTAAACAAACAATCTCGATACTTTTAGTTCTAGTGCAGTATCATTGAATATTCGATTATATAGCACTCGCTAACGGACCAATATTCGTGAGATTTTGTCACGAATACAAATAAAATTGACTCGGCATAAATAATGACTAAATAAATGCGTATGTTTGCAAGATACTGTCGAAGAGATCTGTGAAGTGTGGATGCGAGCGTCGGTGTGACTGTTTCCATCATCAACACCCACACCTATACCCTATTTTGAGAAGTTAAGAAAATTCAATGCAAGAGCTTCCCAATGTATCGACTATTTATATGACTCTTTGGTTGTACTTTCGAACAACTAGGCAAGCCTGGAAGAATGGAAGAATATCATCGAAAGACTTTGAATATTGATTTGAGATCTCGCGAAAATAATCATCTCAATATAGTAACTTAATACAACGACACAGTCGAATGATAAAAGATTCGATGATTCCAAATCGGCATTATCTTAAAAAATCATGAAATATTTGTTTAAGAACTCTCGATCATCATTCGGGTGTGGGTGTGGGTGTGGGGTGTGGGTGTGGGGTGGGGTGTGGGTGTGGGTGTGGGGTGTGGGTGTGGGGTGGGGTGTGGATATGGATGTTGTTTTTCTTTTCCCTAACACCCACACCCACACCCTGATGAAGAATATTCAGAGTTCGATGCTGACTTCCAAAGTAATAAAATCAGGTTTAACATTTCAGGACCTTCGATCCATAATTCGATGCAACTTTTGACGTATTAGAGTGTGATTAATATGTGATAATAAACTAATAGATGAATAAGCATTAACTACATGCTTTACTTTATCTTATTTTACCATATCTTGCTTGTTCGATAAAGTTAGAGATATATCACTTTACTTTACTTTACTTTACTTTTCGAATAAAGTAGATCTACTTTACTTTACTCGATAAAGTACAGTAAAGTTAATCTACTTTACTTTACTCGATAAAGTAAAGTAGATTAACTTTACTTTACCCGATAAAGTAAAGTAAAGCCAAATGCTTTACTTTACTTTACTCTAACAAAGTGAAATAAAGATAAAGTGCCACCCCTAATTCCAACAAAAAAAAAATAAAAGCAAATATATATATATTTTTACTTTAAGATTAAAAACTCCAACAGAACAATCTCTATAAAAATATAGCCTATTCCTTCATCACAACAACCCACCAACATCTTAACAATTCGAAAAACTACTTGAGAGGTGCCTTAGGCACGGACGAAACCGACCATAAGTCACCTTGAATTATTTATATGATTAACACACCCACATCCACCTTCCGATTGTAAGAGGATTATGTCGTTCACATATTCGCACCATTTCGGATCTGAAGACAATAAAGTCATCAGAAGATACTTTTTAAAAATCCAAAACTAATCATGGTAGCTACAAATGATGAATTAGCTCTTCAAAAGTGATTTATCGATTAGAAACATACTCAGACCCATACCCAGACTGAAATAGAGAAGTATATTCCTTAATATGAATGCAAAATTTAATATGCAAAGAAAAAAGCTGTGCCAAAGCAAAAATTTGAAGCAGATAAATGATGAATCAATAATTATTATTTATTATGAAAAAGCACTAAGAAGACCTTTGCTTCGTCTCTAGTTATATTTCATTTTCATTCTATCCATTCAAGAGGTAAATTTGTACGAAGTGTGAGAACAACCGTTGGAATAGCATGCTCGATAAGTTCCGGTTTGATGATCAAATACCCAAAACGCATCCGATTGCTTATTTAATATTGAGTACTTAACATTGCCGACACTGATTTCTATACTTCGTGCACTAATGATCGACGTTCCATAAATAGTTAGTAATAAAAATGACATCAAAACAATGAGAAGTCGCATATTTGTCAGCTTCGATCAAGAAGATTGACTTAAGATATCTGAAAAAAAAACAAATTTACATATCTTCTACTATGTTCTTAGTCAAGTGTACATCAGAGATGGAAAGAATGCAAGTACGGAAAGTACCAGTTCTTATACTTTGTACATGAAGTATTAAAAATCCCAATATATGTCCTTTCGTAATAACTCTTCTGTATATATCCATATTAAGAATCTACTTAGCGTTTTCAGTTCTGTTGGTATTGAGACCAGGACTGAGATTTATAGCTGTTAAAGTTGGTCATAGCGAATTTTCTTTTATTAAAAATTGGACCCTCCATCTAGATCCTTATTATTTTGTTGTAACTAAACCAATATACTTTTCTTCCACTTTCATTTACAAATTCGATAAAATATTTTCATTGCTCACGATATGGATTTCAAGAATCAAGATTTTTTGATGATTCGTATAGGTTTTCGAACAAGTGCTTCAGTACAATATACATCAGTTTAGTTCGAAACCAATTTAAATATTCTTTCGATCAAATAGCTTTCTCGCTGGTTTTCTGTTTCCAGTATGAAATACTTAATAGTGTTATAATATCTTACCAAACATTACTTACCTTTAGAACGAGAGAGAGGTATGGAATTGAAGCTGTACAAAACTTTTATTGAAACCTTGGTTCAAATCAATGAAAATTTCGACGAGTAAAGAGAACGAGAAGAAAAAAAATTGAAGCGGGCCAAATGTAGAAGCAAAAGAAAGTAATTGAAATTTGGCTGACATGGGGTGGAGAAAAGAATTCGAACAGGATCAGGATCGAAAAAAAAGTAATATTACAGATCCTTAGTCAATATTACCCTTTCATCTACAATCACAACACTAGAGATTGAATATAATTACAAGTGAGGGTGTGGGGGTGGGGGTGATTATCTTATCATCACCCACACCCACACCCACACCCACCCACACCCACACCTACACCCACACCCACACCCTTCATAAACGTCTAATACTACAAATGGATCAAATTCTTCATTGTCATTAGCAATTGATGATACACGATAAACAACGATAAATAAGACAATCCATGCTAAGATTAAACCAATTTTAGTTAGTATTGCTTGCCGTTTTTGATCAGGGTGGGGTGTGGGTGTGGGCGAATATGAAGAGAAACACGAAGCTCACAATCACATCCACACCCACACAATAACTGTTAGAGAAAGGCTAGTTTAATTGACAAAATATCTAACTGGTTATTGGAACATGCGGGTTCAGTTCTTGTCCTGGCTATGTGTTTCTTTTTATCAAGTCTTTTGTGTTAGATAAAGCATGTCAACTGTAGATGTTTGTAAATATTCAAATATACAGGATATCGTAGACAAGTGAAATGACGATAGATAATTCTTCAAAGGATTCAGTTTATGCTCACTCTGTCGATTAACTTACATCTACACTCGCCTTCACCTTCACCCTACCTTCAAAAATAATATTTGTTCATTTTACTTATTGTACAGGGTGTGGGTGTAGCAAGAGAGAATAGTAACACCCACATCCCGCATCCCACACCCTTAAAACTACAACTAAATCAATTTGAATCTCTCATTGAATCAACGAAAACGAACGCACATTACAGAAATAAGACCTTTCTCTCCTCGCATTTGTAATCGACTTAGAGATAGTAAGCTACCTGATCAGACTGTCTAAGCAACAGTCAAAATGCGCCGTGGTAGCTTCTACACATCCACCCACACCCACACATCCTATAGATGAAAGATATTAAGTGATATAAAGATAAAGTCAGAAATATTGAAATCATCTTATGTGAAAAAAATGTCATTTTCATAAGGCTTAAATTTTGAGCATGTTGAAGGTAAGAAGTACAACTGCTAGCAAAGCAGTTGCGTGAAAATTATAGAGCTTTTCACGCTACATTGTGTGGTGTTTTTTTTAGATACAGGATATTAAGTGAATGAAAACTGAAACACAGAATACGACCATTCATCCTGGCACACCTATTAAATATAACTAAAGGGATTCATCAGTAACAAAAACAGTAATTGTATCTGTTCCACACTCATCATTTTGTTGTTGTTCATTTGTAATACGTAGACGAAGATCATTATATATCTGTTCAATATGTTTCTTTAACATAACATCTTGTGTATCTGAGCTTTGTGCAACCTATATGAAAGAAAAATGAAATATAACAAGCAAAAACAGGAGGAAAAAATTATTTACAGATGCATAAACATCCTTCAATTTATCAAGGCATTGATGAAGGTTATTGACAACATGCTGAACAGCAGATATTCGATCATCATTGATGATTGAATCACTAAAACTATTAATGAATGCATGTATAGTTATATTAAATAAGCGAAAGTCTTGTTTTTAAATTTTATTTTCAAACATTTACTTATGTTCCACATCGTTGATTTTTAGATCAACTGAAGATGGTGATGTGGTTTTCTGTTCTGGTTGCATTTTTTTCAAGTCTGGTGTCGATAGATTTTGTTGGAGTTCAATTTTTGTCGAATTTTTATTATTATTATCAGTTAATGTGGTTGTTTGTAGATCATTTGTTGTTTCTGATACATTGAAGTTTTCATTCAAGCCTGTACTCGATAATTGCTCTGCTGGTTCATTTGATGATGAAGTTACATCGTGTGTAAATGATGATTCCAAGCCGAGTTCAACAGTTGGACGATGAAAATCTTGTGTCAATTGAGACATCTGATCATTTGTTTTATTGTCCAGTTCATGTAATGGTAAACGAGATTTTTCCGATGATGGTTTTAATTGAGAGATTGTT